CCCCAACTAGCTGAGGGGCTAGCTGAATGGGATTATGGTGGCCAATTCAAATTTGAATGCATATTAAATGTATATGGGGGGAATATAAATATATTCTCTACATAGCTAGTAGTAAGATAGTTGACTAGAGATTATGTCGGGCGTGGCAAGATTTTTGTTGAAATTGAATACTAAATCGTTATAGCAATTCATCAATAATGATCAATTATTAATAATTAATGATTCTATCAAACATATTTTGCATTCTCTTTCCCTCTCTCTCTCGCTCTCTGTTTCGTTCCCTCTCTCTAAGACTTTCTAGCTCTGTCGTCTTCTTTACTTGTTCCTTATCTCTCATTCTTAAGCTATATCGCTCTCATGTTTTCTCTCTGCTTCCTCCCTTTTTCTATTTCCCTCCTCTTTCATCTGTTTTCTTCTGTTTGTGTGTCTCTCTTATTCAAAGCCATTAACGTGCTCTCTCAGTTCCATTCCATTTTCTTCCTTCTCTTCCTACTCTCTCACTCTCTTTTTCTCACTCTCACTCATTCTCTCTCTATCTATCTCACTTCTGTCTGTCTCTTATTCTCTCTCTATCTACCTTTCTATTTGTCACTCACTCTCTCTCTCTCATTCTCTACCTATATCACTCACTCCATCTCTCTCACACACTCTCTCTGTCACTCTCTCTCACATATTCTATCTGTCTCTCCCCCTCACTTTCGTCTTTCTTTCATACTGCCTCATAGGGTCTCTGTGCTTTGCTTCTGTTACCTTCTCATACTCTCTCCTTCTCTTTCATTGTCTATCTGTTTCTTCCCGCCTCTTTCTCTAGCTTATGCTAGCAATAATGAAATATCTGATCTAATTAATAATTTCATATTACAAATTATTTTGCAATGCTTCATTTATTGAGGTAAGTCTCAATGAAAATTGCCTTTCGCATGTATCAAGGACCTCAAGAACCTCAACTTGAAATCAATTTGCTTTGCTCACTGTCTTAGTTTACGGATTAATTAATGCGCATTTAGTTTGAATGCGTTTCAAGCCAGGCGAATGCTCATTTACAGCGATGCCAGGTTGAAGCCACAGCTCAATGCTGAGCGCTGAGCATAGGCTTAGTACGCACACAGAGAAAGGGAAAGGGAGAGGGGGAGGTGGAGAGAGAGCGTGTGGTAGAGAGTGAGAAAAGAGGTAAAGCTAAGCAGTCGAGCAGCTGACTGATTTCACAGTCTCAGTCGCAGTACATATGGAGAGTGGAGTGGAGTGGAGGGGAGGGGAGTGGATTGAAGGGGATGGGAATGGAGTGGAGGGGTTTCTGGCTTGGTTGGATCTATACTAAGCACTTTACGCAAAACTTGGCACAAGTCGAAAACTTTTCATATAAATTACAACAATGCAATTTGATTTAAGCCAGCCAGTCCACAAACAGAGGCGGATGGGGGCGTGGCACTTAAGTAGCTAAGTGTACGCATGTGTGTGTGTGTGTGTGAGCTTAATATTTATTTAAAAGTCTGCACACCTTTTGCCACAAATTCCCACTCAAAGAGCACTTGAAAGAGAGAGATAGAGAGAGAGAGAGAGAGGGAGTGTGGGAAAGAGAGGGAGAGAGAGGGAGTGAGAGCGAGGCATGCTGATAATTTGAATAAAGAAATTTACATGATTTGCTTAACAATCAAAATGTATTTCTTTGTCTGGCACAGAGCGGGGACGGGAGCGGGGGCGGGGCCGTGTGCGGCTTGTCAAGTGGATTGTGTGTGCTATTTGCTGGCATATTAGTGGGGCTCGAGCCATACAATTGAGCTGCTCAATGACACGCCAAAAATGCGTGAGCTCGTGACTCCGAGAGCCCTAAAAATATTGCCTAATCACTGCTCGGGGAGCTGGGAATTTGAAGCTGAAGCTGTAGCTGTAGCTGTAGCTGGGCGTGGGCAAGGACATGTACGTGTGAGTTGGCGGCCGTGTGGTTTGGGTGGTGCGGCGGTGAAAGTGGCCGCAAGTAAAAGTTTTTGCCCCGTCCATTTGGTCAATTTGGGCCAAAAGAAAATTTGTAGGCTATAGAAAGTTTTCAGAGCGAGGCGAGCTGGCAGTCGAGCGGCGGGGCTTGAAAGATTTGAGTCTATCTCTTGTTTAGTTGCCAGAGGCGGCATTTGGGCGTGGCATGTGGCAAAGTTTTACGTGTGCACGCGCCCCAAAAATAAACAGCAACAATGGCAAGTGGCAGCGGTTAAGTTGACAGGACAACAGCAGCATCCCAGAGAAGTAGAGAGAGAGAGAGAGAGAAAGTGAGAGGCAGTGGCAGAGACAGAGAAAACAGCTGAAGGCTGCGAGGCGTGGCAGGCTAGCTTGATATAGCTGGTGAGATAAAGCGTTGAAAACTTGAAGCCAGCGGCCGTTGGGCCAATAACAACAACAACAACCACCTCAACAACAACAACAACAACAACAACAACAGCAAGAATAAGCGCACGCACTCCAGAGCACAGCAGAGCAGAGAAAACAAAATATACTGTGAGCTCACAAAATGAAAACAAATTGTGCACTGCGGCTGCTTCCCACATTAGGGGTAGTCCATATTAAATAAGTTAAATGTAAGATTTCGTCGAGCTCAAGCTGCGTATATCAAGTTTAAACTTTAAATTCAAACAGAAAACGCAGAGGCGGCCGTCAAGTGAAAGCCGCAACAATAACAAATCCCTAGTGGAATAATAATAATATAATTAAAATAATAATTACGAATTTTCTATTAGAAAAAGCTTACAGGGAATTCCAATTTGAAGTCTAAAAATATTTATTTATTTCAACTGAATTTCGTTGAAACTACAAATCTTTAATTAAATAGCTTCAGAAAGCTTTTCTTAGAAATTATTTAATTTGCATNTCCGTCCTGCGTGTCTTCTTTGCGTCTGCCTTCTCTAAGGAAATAATTTGAACATAGACTACATGACCATAGAATAATAATAATATAATTAAAATAATAATTACGAATTTTCTATTAGAAAAAGCTTACAGGGAATTCCAATTTGAAGTCTAAAAATATTTATTTATTTCAACTGAATTTCGTTGAAACTACAAATCTTTAATTAAATAGCTTCAGAAAGCTTTTCTTAGAAATTATTTAATTTGCATTTCATAGTAACTTAAGCTTTGCTTAACTCAGTTACTAAAATTACTTTTATAACTATTAATAACTATTTTAAGACTTTTGCTAGTGTATCAAACACCCCTACTAGAACGCTCTTCATACTCACGAACATTTCCTTAGGAGCTCTGCCCAATCTTAGCTCTAGCTGGCTGAGCTGAAAACACTCTTAAAGCTCCCCAGGCTAATATAGTTCTCACTTATCTTAAGCTTTTCTAAATTTAGCTTAAAGCGTGTGAAACGCATTAAAGCTATAAACTTGATCGAAGCAGCCTCTGCGAGTTCCTTCTTAATACTTAATGTGAAGCTTACGTCAAAGTTACTTAAAGCGATTATCAAGCCGGCTGAAACTTAGCTTAGAGCTTAAGCTCTTCTTTAAAATCTAAGAAAGATGTTCCTCAGTTCTCTTAAAGTTTCACTCGCTAAAACTTTACTGTCTGTTCCTGAAGATCTCAAGCGCGCCGGAATGCATATTTAAGCTCTCTTCGATCGTGTAAAGCTTTTTTCAAGATCTCTTAAGCTTATCTTATCCCTGGCAAAGCTCATGCAAAAATTGATTAAAGCTTTCTTGCAAATCGCCTTGAGACTGTAAAAAGCTCTACTGATCATATATTGCAAATAAAGCTCAGTCACGCAAAGCTTTCATCGAGCATACTTAAAGCTCTATTCTGTCTTCGTGCTGAAATCACTTTAAGATTTGTATTTTAGGCTTCATTTATTTACAAAAAGCTCGTCGAACACACAAAACTCTCATTAATATTCGCTCGTCAAGCTTTTCGCAGCAGCTCTCGAGTGCCCCCAGTGTATGTGTGTTGCCCGCATATATGCTAGCTGAGCCAAAATTGAAATATTAAGCCATACAAATCAGGCAACTTGCAGCAGGAGCAGCAGCAGCAGCAGCAGCAGCAGCAGCAGGAGCAGGAGAAGCAGGAGCAGCAGTAGAAGCGAATAGAAGCAGCGAAAAATCATTCGACACGCGCGGCATTTATCAGCGCCTGCGGGCGAGGCGGAAACGGAAACGGAAATAGAGCAAAGGGCTGCGCAAAAGGGACGCATGCAGGCACGTATAAAGCTAAGCGGGAACATTGGAGCTGGAACTGGGGCTGGGGCTGGGGCTGGGGCTGGGGAGACGCGCTTATTGACGTTGAGCAACGCTTATTGGCGTACTTAATCCTTTTGGCAAATTCCAATAAATTACCAGAACAGGACAGGACACGACGAGCCAAGGCCAAAAGTCAGAGGAATACAGTCAAGACTCCCAGGCGGTGCGGCAGGGGCAGGGAGAAGGCGGATGAGCACGAAAAAACAAGAGCAACAGTAAAGAGAAAAAAACAAAAACAAAAGACAAAAAAAAGAAAGACAAACATCAATAGGCCATGATGAGTTTCTGATTGCAAAGCAAAAGGCAGCACAGCAGCCCCAAAGGTCGAACGGACGCTAGCTAAAGCTCGCTGGGCTGGCTAGGGATGGGGTTGCCCCAGTGGCTGGCAGAGGAGGAGGAGGAGTAGGGGGCGGCTATGGCTGGCTGAGAAGGATGACGGTCGTGTCACATGGCTTGGCTTGGCTGCCTTTGGGGCAAGTCATAAAATTGAACAGACATTTTATGTGAGCGGGCCGAGTGCGGTGGGGGCTGGCACGGTTGGGTGGGCGTGCTGGGCCTGGCTGGGCTACAAAGTTAAATTGAAAGCCCAAATCCTTGCCAGACTCGCAACTGGATAGGCAGGCAGCTCGCTTTGCGTACTTTGTCTTATCTCTTTGACTGTTTGCCCATAAGCCAGGCGCCTCCCCTGCTCCGCCCCTCGCCCCATGCTCGACGCACCTCGCACATTTATATTATTATTTTTTTTTTTTGCCTGTCTGTTTTTTTTATTGTAAATGTTTTGCATATTTTTGATTGTGCTCGAAGCAGCCCAGCTCCATAATAAAAACAAAAAGTAACAATAATAAGTGCAAAAGTTGACCCTAGCCGACTGAGCCAACACTTTGCCCACATTCATTGATGGGCCTTGGACAGTCGCTCACTTGACTAGAATAGAGTGGAGGTTGCGTTCACTTGAAGAATTTAAAAGGGTATTTCGTCGTCGTGGTGCCTCGAGCTGCGCTGCTACTCCTGGCCTCCCAGCTGCTTGCCCTGGTGGTAGACCTGATCGATGCCACGGCTGTGGGCGACGAGACGCGGATAGGCGCGCACCGTGTCGCTCAGCATAGGGCAGGCCAGCTGGCTGTTCAGAATGGAGGCCACATGCCCGAAGACGAGGGCGTCCAGCTCGCACAGCTGCTGGCCATAGAGATAGTTGGCGCTGAGCTTGCCGTTCGACTCGTGCGCCTCCAGCTTGTCGCTGAGCAGCTGGCAGCACTGCTGCAGCTGGACCTGGACGCCGCGCGTGCTCAGCTCGTCCCACTGGTAGACGCGCAGGAGGCGCAGCGCCTCCTCGCTCTTCTCGCGCCGCCGGATGCTGCTCAGCGGCCAGGGATGGGCGGAGCCGATGCGCGGCTGGGTGTGATCGGCATAGATCGACGCCTCCTTGAAGCACTGATGCAACTCGGCGAGAGTGAATGTGTTCTCCACGTAGGTCACCTCGCTGCGCATATCCTCGCGCTCCTCGAAGCCCATCCAAGAGCTCACCGCGTTCGCCAGCTGCGTGCACTCCACGTGCACCACAATCGGCTCGAACTCGGCGAAGAGACGGCGTCCGAGACGCATCAGCGGCAGCTTGGTCAGCCTCCCGCCCGTCGACATGAACTCCGCATTGTCGCACTGGCGCTCCGTGTACGGCAGCCGGCACATGCGCAGATAGGTCTTCACGGCCAGGCAGCTGGCCTGCTCCGGCAGCAGCAGCTGCGTCTCCTCCAGCGGCTGGTAGAGGCACACGTCCTTTGGCCAGGGCAGACTTTCGCCTGGCAGCACCGCCGGCTGCGTATCGCTCGCTTGCAGCATAGCGCTAGCCACTTCCATTTCGGTCTCCATGACAGCCTCTAGTCGAAATTTGGCTCGAGTCGAAACGGTGTTAACTCTACTTGGTTGTGTTATATGTTAGATGTGCTTAAACAATTTAGCAAAACGAGTTTGTTTCAGTGCAGAGGGGCTCACGACAACGAACTCGAATGCTCGAGCAAAGCAATTTGACAGATGGCAGGCAAAGCCTGCCACAGCTCGAGAACGAGTTGGCAATGCCAAGGGATATCTGAAGCAGGACCTGCCCTATTGATAACAATGAGATATATAGACACAGCTGTTGAGATGTTGAGATAATATTAATAGATATGGAAATTGTTTATTAGGCTAAGTCGAGTCAGCCATGTTTAGGGCTGTTGAAAATATATCAAAATATCAATATATCGTTATATTTTCCAGCAAAACATATATTTCTATGGGAATATTGTTTTGCCCAAATATCGAATATTTTTGCAATAGTTTTTATATATCTGCGTTGGTCACTCCTGTAATAAGTAAAGCAATTGGAAATGTACAAAATTGAAGATGCTAAAAACGTATTATTCGGACTTTAATAATGTGCTAACACATAAAATATGGCGTCGCATATGGAAAACAAGCACTATGATGCTTTTAGGAGTGGAGTTAAGCGGTCTTTTTCATTATACCCTGAACCCATTTTCAATGGGAAATCAGGGTTTAATGCTTTTGTGAAAAGTATGTAACAGGCAGAAGGAACCATCGACGACCCCATAAAGTGTATCTCTGTTCTTGATCAGGGCGACGAGCTAAGTGATATAGTCCTGTCCGTCTGTCCGTCCGTCCGTTCGTATGAGCAAACCGATCTCAGAAGATATAAGAGCTAGAGAGCTGAAATTTGGCATGCATACTCATGTATATCATAGGCAGTACAAGCTTATCATATTTTTCCGATAACTTTTTTATCGAGAATAATCGACTTTGTTTTTTCAGCCTAATTTCAACACTTTTGGACCTGCTAGCTTCAAATTTTTGTTGTGTATTAAGTTAATGGATGCAAAGATTTTGTAATTTACAGATTTTGGATACCACGCTCCCTTCGCCACCAATTTGTAAAAAACCCATTTCAAGTACTAGAAACTTTTGCTTTGAAATGTGCACACATTTTAACCATATGATTACGCTCTGACAGTTTCATTAAGATTGTATGTCTACAAAAGAAATGATTCAACAAATAAATTCTCATAATATTGCCCACACTGCAGCGCAGCCCAAGCGCAGTCGCTGCTAACTGCGCAGTCAGCAGAGCGCGTTATTTGTGCGTGTGGATGCGTGTGTGCATAAAAGAAGTGCAGAATTAGTAGAATATCAGCTTGGACGGTTCAAGGTATCTCCTAGTCGAGCAGTCTCGACTGGAGCCTTCTTATTTGTTCTTATTATTATTATT